GGCAGCTGATCCAACTTTTAATTCAAATTTCATACTTACACATCAATAAGTTGATGACTGCCACATCTACATTATGTGAACCATTATGTCATTGATAATGTACCTCTAGCATTTTTCATTTTGAAAACATTGAGGATGTCATCCTCGATGTAAGAATAAATTAACGAGGGTGATCGAGTTGGTGGAGCAGGTAAACGCGAAAATCAAAGGTCACGAGTTCGAATCCTCTGCCAACACTTCCTCAGTCGAGTCCGTCGCACTGGACTTGCCTAGTGCGGTTTACCTCTCCTATATAGTTTGTGAGCTACTGCACATGGAGCGATGTTTACCTAGTGCTCACTCACAGTGATTGGGACTCCGTTGGTGAGTAACGGCTGCGGGTTCCTATGTCAAAAAAAAAAAAATTGGGTTTCACCTTTGAGCTTCAAGGAAGGAATAGGTGTGCGAGACCCCTGGTGCCACTTTTCCAGTACAAGTTGGAATTTTAGAATTTTTGGCTTTTTCTAGCATGGTTTGAAGACTTCTTGAGGCCTTAAAAAAAAAAAAAAATCCTCTTACATTGTCTTTGGGGACGCCTCATAACATATCATACATCAATATCCCACAAGGTAAACACTCTAAGAGAGAAAAACATAAGGAAAAGCATGGGGTTTGGATCATATTCTAGATTGGAGGACTTGGTGCAAGAATTTTGCAGTTGATTTTGTGTATCATTTTTTACTTCTATTATTAATGCTTCGAGTGATCTGTTACTAATTTTTGTTGAATTGTTGACAATAAAGAATCGATAGGTGAGTTATTTGTTTATGTTGGGAAATTATTTAATTTCCCGTGATGGGCCGACATATGTAATTAATTGTGTATAAATGCTATCTTAAAGTTAAGCCCAAAATTAAAGTGATCTAATAAAGAATTAAGTAATTGGGCTTTAAGCATCTAATTAAAGTGTGGGCCGGACTATATGTGTAGAGACCGGATCCATTAGGGTTTTGTATTCGACGATGGGCCGAATACATATGGAAATATATAAAGGGTT